AGGTAGGGCAGAAAATGACTTCTATACTTTTAAAATTTGCACAAAATTTAGGAGGTCTTTAGACCAAGCCAACTATACAACAGTGGCAGTAGTAGATAGATAATTCATTTCGACTAAGGAATGTATCAATTATATTGAAAGTATTATTTTTTAATAACCTACAAGTTTGATATTTTTTATGTTCACTCTTTGGTATCATTGAAAGCCTGTCATAATATTTGCAAAAATTTTATCCAGAACGAGTGTTATAATTATGGCAGGCTCGTATTAATTGTGCCCAAAAAAAAATTTCCTGATGGAAATACATGGTTGCATTAGATTTTTTAACCTGGTGGCAAGAGTATACTTGCATAGATCCAGAGTGGGTTGTTCTATTAAATCCAATACCTAGGCTCAATATGTTAGATTTATTATTATTCATTTTATTTTTTCAAAAAATGGAATCCACAACTTGGAATTGTATACAATTGAAATGGGAAAACGAACGATTTTATCTCGGATATCATTTATTTTTTAAAAAAATTGGTTTCTTAAAAGTTTTAATCTTGCATGGTCTTAGTATTATCATTAAAGTTTTCGGCCCAAACTACTTTCGAAAAAGAAGTAGCTTTGGCAGTAGTTTGGGCTCCTCGATATTTTTTACAAGAATGAACATGAGATACGAATAATAATAATTCGAATGAAACGAATAATAATAATTCGAATGGAACGAATAATAATAATTCGAATTAAAATAAGAATTTGTATTTACGAATAGAAACTCTACGACTTTTATCCTTCTAAGTAATGTAGGTGGACTCATCTCAACTAAATCTCTATGCCATTGAATTCTGCACTAAAATTCCAGACATAAAAATGAATGTCAAAAGAAATTTTTTTAGCCGGCTAAGCCGTTTAACAATTCCTTAGCCGGATAACATCACTAGCTATTGTATTATTATTAAGTTTTATTATATCTAACACCCCTCAGTTGCAGGTATTTAGTAACAGGAAATCTATTTTTATTACCACCACCTTTACTTTGCCTTCCTTCAAAATATGAACAGCAGAAGGCTCCCTCCTCTCATCATTGTATTATTACATTCTCTTATTATAATGTCTTCTTCTATTTTAAATGAATGAAAATGAAATCAATTTATTTACGCAAGATATTAATTATCACTTTTAATTTATTATATTCGGTTAATAAATCAATGAAAAAATCAAATATCCGATTCACTGAATATTCATTCACCTCTTAATTTTTTATCAACAGAAGATCCTGCTCACAAAGGACCTTGATATCGCATTAGGAAACATGAAAAATCTGAGTATAATTATCAAGATAAATCAGGTATCTATGCATCACCTCATACGGAGGATATTAAACAATTAAATAAAAACATAAAAGACAACAAAACTAAAGCACATTATAAACTACTAATATCATTTCAAAAGTCGCAGCTAATATCTTTATCTGGTAGCCCACAGGAATTAGCGATACGATTTTTAAAATCTTGGGTTCTATACTTTTTAGTAAAGCGATCAAAAGTTGTTATTACTACTCTTTACATAAAAACTATATTATTTCCACATTTGTGGAATTTACGCATGCGCGTACCTATATAGATCAGGAAAATATTGTGGAGATCAATATTTATATATTAATATTAATATTGTTTTTCTTAGTGCGCAGCAAAAAATTTCTAAAAGGGATCAAAAAAGAGAATCACGCACGAATTAAAAAAAAGTATATCAATATTAAAATAAAAAAGCAATACCATTCTATTTTACAATTCTATTCTGATTACTTTTTCAATTTTCTCACCAAATTCTAACGTAAAATACTCGTACCATTTTCTCTTTTAAAGTTGATTGATTGGGACACGAACTTAAAGAATAAAATTAAACTTCTTAAATAGATTTTAGGTTTAGTAACAAAATTTATATACAACGTATCACTTAAATCATTTTTTGTTAAGGGGGGGGGATTTAATTCATATGTACGAGAAAACTTTAATTTTTGAATAAAATAAAAAACTATAAAATAATAATATGGACGAATTGTCTAAATCATTTTTTGAGACATCTCATTTTGATTCTAGACTGTCACCAGACTCAGAAATTATTAAAGAAGTCAGCAAATCATTGTCAGCTTCTTTATTCACTGAGCCTTTAAACATTAGCATTGGAAATCCTTGGGACCTTCCTTCAATAAATGGAATTGATGTTTCCAACATTTTATGTAAGGTTTTTTAAATAAAGAAATACTCAATAATTGCATTCACAAATGATAATTTTATTATTATTTTCCATTATTAGCTGATGTTTATTTACCTGATGTATATGCAACTACATTTGCACTAACTTCTCCAAGTGGTGGGTCAGTTTCTATTTCAGCTTTAAACAAAATTTTAAGTATTAGTGGTTTATCTCATGCAACAATCGAAAAGGTAATCCATCATTATTTTACTTGAAGTGGTAATTGAATAATAATAATAACGGTGATGGTGATAATAATAATAATATATGTTAATAATTATTAGATTATAAATTTAGCAGTACCTGTTAATAGTACTTGTATCAACAGAGGAGAATTCAATGTTGCGCTTGCGTTAGTAGCTTTGGCACAAAAAAATATGGGTAAACAAAATTTGTGATTGATCTTTTAATTACTTAAAGATTTTGATGAGGGTGATGTTATTAAATATATTATTATTATTTTAAATTTTTTTTGTAGATGTTTCAATTGATAACCTGGTTGAGAGAAAACATGGTAGAAATAAATCTTCAATGTTATTTTATTTCATTTTAATTTTTACCAAAAAGAAAAAATAAACAAATAATCAATTACATTTGATCTAGATCTTCCCGAACCAATCCTTACAAATATAGAAAGTATCGATTTTAATCGCAATTTAAGTTTCTCTAATATCACATCTCGTCCATCATCAATTCTGGTTCTTCAGGATGATGATCCTTGGGCTATTTCATCAACAACGAATGGTATTGACATTATAACATCATCACCATCAACGTCTGCTGCAATAGGAATATCAGGAGAAACTATGACATCAACTTTTTCACCAATCATATCAAATACAATAATATCACGATTTCCAAGTGATAGCAACGGTGCAAGTACTATTTTACCAAATATTAATAGGACTTTGATACTAGATGATCGTGAGTCTCATTGGTTTCTAGATGCAGGTATCATTAAAGTGAAATTTGCTCCTGAACATGAAGGTTTTCTATTCAAACATGTTAATTACATTGTTGAATCACAGGTAAATGATCAATATATTTGAGAAGAAAAGATGAATAAAATATAAATATTTATTTAAATATATAAATATAATTATGATACATACATAGAGACAAGAAAGTAAAGTTATAAGAAGATATAGTGATTTTTGGTGGCTAATGGAATGTTTGGTGAAAAGATATCCATTTAGAATCTTACCTATCTTACCACCCAAAAAAATTGGAGGTAACTATATTTGATTTGTACATATGTGTGTTATTTATATATAGGTGATTTTAAATATAGATATAAATTAACAAAATTACTATTTATCATAGTTAACGTATTTTATTTCACACATGATGAAGCATTTTTGGAGAAACGGCGGAAAGGCTTGGCAAGATTTTTGAATTTTATTGCAAGACATCCAGTTTTAAAAAATGATGATTTAGTGGAAATGTTTTTAACCGAACAAACTGTAAATATCGATTAATTTTTATATATATTATATTTATAATAGAACTACATTCATACTTTTCATACTTTACGATTTTATAGGAAATAGCAGTATGGCGTAGGAATAATGCACCAGATTTAGATGAAGAGTTTTTTAAAAAAGAAATTTCATCACAAATGGAACAACGCATACCTGGGGATTTGAATGCAAGGTTAGAAAGTGTATATAATAATTTGGATCAATCTATTGAACATTACTTAAATATGTGTAATTTCATGGAACGTATTGCTCGTTCTCAAGAAGGCACAGCATCTGATTATATGCGTTATAGTTTGTCTTTAAATTCATTGATTGAGAATGAGAAGGATTGCTTCATAGAAAATTGTTGTAATTGTTCACAGATGATGGATGGTTTAGAACAAGTATCAAGTCATTTTCAACATGCAAGTACCATCATGGAAGATGCTGTAAGTAATTGATAACTGAATTATGAATTGTAATTATTATTATAATTAATATTACAAACGTCTTTAATGCTTATTTTATTTGTGAATCAATCAATCAATTAGGCTACATCTATTCTTGAAACTGTTCTTGAGGATTTGAAGAGACATCGAGATTTACTCTTGTCATTCAAGGTGTGATATTATAATTAAATTTTAAATAAATTTATTTATATCAATAATAATTTCTACCACTATATCTATATAATATCTATTACATTAATATTTAATTAATCACTTGATCAATATAATATATACCAGGATACGTTTGAGAGAAGGGATAGATTAGTAATTGATACTAGTGAGACTCTTAATAATAGAATATCAATAAATCAAGCAAAACTTAAATCATTATCAAGCCAAAAAACATCAGATCCGGAAGTAGAGAAATTGGCATCTGCAATTCAAAAGGTAATATATATATATTATATGCTTGTGTGCATACTTGTGTATGTATATGCTTGCATATTATAAACAAAATTATTATACATTCCTTATTTATATTTAAATATTTTCATTAAATATATATATTGTGCATATTAATATTCAATATGTCTCCGTCATCCCTATATCCCCATATCCTCATTATCTAATATTTAGCATCTAGTATTTATTCTAATATCTAATATCTATTCTCTAATATTTAATACTTCTCACACTTCACATTTTCTCGTATTTTAGGATGAAGGTGATCTTAAAGTTCAACTTAGAAAACAAAATTTTGTACGTTATTGTATGCATTCAGAACTCAATCTACTTCATAAAAGTTCAGCATTCGTCTCACTTCTATATCGAAACTTTATAAATGAACAAATGAAATACACACACCAACTTTATAAAAATTGGGATGTACTAAATCCTAAAGTTCGTGATATGCCAATTGAAACCAACGGGTTTGGTTAATTTAGCTCATTTTTGTTTATATTATATATATAGGCATATATATATATGCAAACGTTTATATATTTATTAATATTTATAAAAAAACTCAATGAGATTTAGTAAAGCATAAACAAAAATTGGTTATTATTATTATCTATAACTGACATTTTTTATTTCTTAAAAGAAAATTTCATTAAATGTTTTGACTAAAATATCAAGTAACTTCAAAGTTATTTACATATTTATATCATAATTGTTGATTCTTAAACTTATTTAATTAAACTAGCCTTTTATTTACATTTATTTCTTTGGCACAAATATCGGGACCCTGGAACAGGTTGAGAGGAATTAATTATAATTTATTTAATTATTAGTTTTTTATTTAATAACGGCCATTATCAAATGTGACAAAATAATTACCGGGAACAATAATTTCACAACATTAAAAATCATGATGCTTACTAAAGAATATGAAATGACAAAATAATTTAACTTGTTATTTTAGAAATATTTCTTACAATGGGTTGAACCATAATATTTTGAACTTTTGTTACCATCTTTACCTTGATATTTATTTATTATATATATTAAGTTTCTTCTAGTTATTAAAAAATATTATATTACATTTTAGATTGGTTTGTCACAAGAGTAGTTAAGTCACAGATGATTTGATTTGATTTTTTTTTGCCTTGGATTCTTTTCCTTTGAATTAGTTCTTTTCTTCTTAGGGGTGTTCTCACAATTGGCAAAAAATTGAATTGATGTAGGAGGTGGAGTAGAACATTGTTCATTTAATTCTTTTAACAAATCATATGATTCACCATTATCATTATCATCATCATTATTCAGAATATCCAGAACTTGTAGGTTATTCTTGATAATAATCTATTAAAATAATTAGTATATGAAAGAGAAGTAAATAGCTTCAATAATCTTTTTCATACCTTGTATTGATATATCCTTGCTAGAAATTTAAGAAAGATCTTAATCCATTTTTTGAGAATTTGCTATGTATGTTGAAAGATTGAGGATCTTTGCAAAAAATACAAATCGATCCTCCGGCACACCATAATCTTACAAATTGAATCCATAATCCAAGGTGTAATATACCAATTACTTGGAGTTTGTCTGCTCTTTGATCATCATAATTTACAGCTCTGATCAAACCAGAATACATATCTTGAAGAGACTTTGGCATTTTGAATTCTTCATCAAGATATTTGTTGTCTGAGACACCCTTAAAGGACCTTGCACCTTCTATGGCTCCTAATTTGAGAAGCTCATCAGTTGTATATATTATTCCATCAATTTTATGACCAACGGACTTTCTTTTACATGTATTTACTTTTCAATTTCTATTCTTCTGGTTAGCACTACTTGATGATGGTGCATCAATCCTGTATACAGTTATAAGCTATATTAAAAATATGAGTTGATGATGGTTTATTGTTTATACTAGTAGAAAATAGTTAACATTTTAATATCAGTTCCCAATCTAATATCCCTAAGACAGAAGTCAATGCATGTTCCAAGAAGTGCAACTGTAAACCAATGTTCGTATTGTATTCTTATTAGAGGAGCATCTATGTTTTCATATAGATTTACAAGTGTTCGAATGGTCAATTGAATCCATTCTTTATCAAAGAGTTGGCAAATTGACTGGTCCATTGAGAACAGATGGATTTTGGACTGGTCCATTGCAATTAATAAAATACTAAATATGGTCAAAGTGTTACACTAATGGACCCAATGGACCACCAATAGACCATCAATGGACTGCACATTTGCCAACCCTGCTTTATCATAGTGTTTACAAATGTTGTATTTTTCTTCTTGAAGAAATGATGTCATTGTTACTATGTGTAAATCCTCTAAAGTACTTTTTTCATCTCATCAGTTCTTTTGTAATGTTGTGTGAAATAATTGGAACCCCAATTCAATCTTTTGTTAATTCTTTCCATTCTGAATCAGTAAACAATGCTTTGATATTCTCATCATCAAAATCCACAATATACAAATGAGTATGGCTAATCAAACCATTGTCAGTATTGTGTATGGTAAGATAAAAGAATTTAGAAACTTACTGTTCATAATCCATGTCTTTAGAAAAATTAAAAAGAATATCCTCCACTATTTTGCCTGTGCTCAATTTCAACTTTGAGGTATCCGGGATAGCATCATGAGTCTTCCGAAAAACCATCTGTCAATTTTTGGAGGATCCTTCTTACTTTCTAAAAAGTATCAATGCAAGAAAAAAGTTTAATTCCTTATTTCTACTTGTAAACCTGAATTTTGGATAACACAAACTTACATCAGAACTCGATCCTTTGGAAGTTGATTCATCAGAGTTACTTGTATTATAAAAGGAAATAAAATTGCAGTCTAAGAAAATTGAAGAATATCATTCAAAAGATAATCATACATACATTGGTATATAGTTTAAATCACATGAGCAATGAATATTAACAATTCACTTATTGTGAAGGAATGTTTTTTTGGAGTCATCACTTATTATTCCCGAGTTGTCATTTAATTCCTGAAGTTCTCTATAAATTTTGTTGTCTTTATGCCAGAAGGATCTTGGAAGAAAGTGCTGATCTGACGATGAGTGGTGATAACCATCACCATTCTTACAATAAACACTTACCCATATGTATCTTTTGTCTTGGTCTCTTTTCATCTCTTTGCTTTTTGTGTTTTTTTGAGGCATTATTTTTTAATTTTTTTAAAAAAAAACATGTAAAACAAAATATTATTATTATTGGCACTTGGTGTTGCACAAAGATTTTTTTTTTTGGAAAAACAATTTATTTTTTGAAAGAGTCCAAGATGAGGAAATGTGAGTGTTGTTGTTATTTGGTTCTGAAGATGTGTTAATGACAGAGGTGCTATTTTTTATTTGTATTGATATATATATATATATATTTTAGTTTATAAATATTTTAATTGGAATCAAAATGTGGTATAAGATCTTTATCAAGATGATAACGAATGAACAATTGGTATTTTGCTTTGCATAATCAATTTTATTAATATTATTATAATTACAAGAAGATGTCAAGACAGTATGACCATAGAAAAAGAAACAATTCAAATATGAAACATTTTGAATATGCAGTGTTTGATTATCAGAAATTAGCAGATGTTGAAGCACACATGCTACCTTGAACACTTTACAGTCATTCTCACATCTTCCTCATGTACATAAGGCTAATCTGACCTGCTCCCTCTGATGATACAATGATGCAACTGAACTCGAGGGGGAGGGGACATGGCCCTGGAGTTTATTGAGACTGCATCAATTGTCAAGAATGACAATTGATAATCTTCCCAGACCTGAGTAGGCTGCTGGCATGTTAGCCGAAAAGTCTCCTGCAATGATCCTGCCTCTAGGGTAAGGATGGTTCTGTGATCAAGTCACAATTCTGAAGAGTTGTGATATTAGGTGCACATAAACATCCAAATCAATCAAAGCAACGAGAATCTGCAACTCATTTCAAACACAGTTTGGGGTGGGGTTGGTGGCTCTGAAATTGCATTTGGGCTCTGATTTTAGGAGGAAAGCTGTAAAATAAAATGATTCAGATTTTGGTATGTAAGAATATTGTATATGAACTTTCAATTTAGTTGTGGATCATATTTTGCATATAGTTGGCTCAGTCTAAAGACCTCCTAAATTTTGGGCAAATTTTAAAAATATAGAAGTCATTTTCTGTCCTATCTTTTAAAAAAATAACTCTATTAGTTGATAGAATATGTATTTAGTTTTAATGTAATAAAAAGATTTTCTCAAAAAAATTTTTTGTTTTAGAGTACTATTCTTTTTTAAAACATGTAATTTACTATGCTCATGAGTAATTTGAGCACTAGGATCATTGCTAAATTTAGGCTAATACTCAACCATCATATGAAATTTGGCAGTAAAGAAAATAATTTTTTAACCAAAATCATGTGAAGCCCTTTTTTAAGAAATTTTATTACATTTTTGAATGAATCACGAAATTGCATTTTTTGAAATTGGAGTGCGTGGCGCAGCAATAGGAGGTCTTTAGACTGAGCCAACCATATTAACTTTATTTAATATAGATGGATGATTTTATGATGATTAATCTTGATGATTACCATAACATCCATAATAAACAACATGGTGATACAACAACAACTTCAGATGTTCTCCATTTTTAAACCATCTTACTAAAAGCAGTTCCAGGTTTACCAGCAGTTCCATTGTTAACCCACATAATGGCAAGAATATCCATAATCCAAAAGGAATTGATGCAGAGCTCATCATGGAAAATTTCCAGGTATTGTTTTTTCCTCATTTTTGGTTAACATATAATGAACATAGGCTTGTCTTTGCTAAAGAATTACCTGAGGCAAGAAACCATGAAGAACATGTAGAAATGTTGTTGGTGCATAATTGTGATGATAGGATACAACAATGAAGAGAAGATAGAAGTATGAATAACACTAAGCTTGTAAATTTGGTTGAAGGAAGTTTACACTCTACAGAAGATTATATAAAAGCTTTAGAAAATTTATTTAGTGTTCCAGAGTTGGAAACATATCTTGAAAGCTATGTACTTGCAGGATCATTTGATTACCCTGGACAGATTCATGGATGGAATGCTGTTTCAGCTTCTTTTAATTTGACAAATATTCATCAACTCTCACCTCTCCTACAACATATTGTCCCAATGATTGGACCTTTACATGACTCATTAAACAGTCATGAAACAGTTTTCAAATTGAACTATTCTTTTTTCAACAAATTGAATTGTTTTCTTTACCTAAAAAAGAGACCACTTGCAAATAAACCAAAGCCATACAAAATAAATGCATTGCTTGAATTGACTGCTTCTGGATGGAATCTAATCAGAGAAGAAGTATTGATTAAATTTCATAACTGTGAGAATCCTGAGGCAAGGTATTTACTAGACCTTTTAGGTAATATTATACCATTGGTTCTGGGTTTTTATCCAGTTATATTTCGAAGTGGAAGTTGGTCTGCATACAGGGAA